CTCTTTCAAACAGCTCAGTCACTAACCTGCCTCTCTCTACCTCTCTCTATATCTCTCCTTCATTCTCTCACTGTATCTTTCTCTGTGTATATCTCTTGATCTTTCTCTCTGTATCTCTGTCTGTATCTCTCTCTCTGTATCTCTCTCTCTCTCTCTCTCTCTCTCTCTGTTTCTCTCTTTGTATCTCTCTCTCTTGTCAACAGTAAAAATTATCAACAAATATTTCTGTTGTCAATTTATCATTTATATTTTCAAAATTGTCCGACTCGGACTGAGTTAACGGTTTAACAGCAGAGGGCAGTAGTTCACTGATAGTGCCGCGCCTGTATGATCAGATAGTGAAAGAAAAAGAACAGTTTTATCTGAACAGTAAACAGAAGTTTTGTTTTGTTTTTTTTTACAGTTGTTACACAGAAAACATCACCACTGTCCAAAAAAATGTACCTCTAGTTTTTCCATTTTGATTTGCATTATTTGAGCATAACATTTACATTGTGTTAACATTTCATGATGAATGGATCAATAAAAAGCTCCAGAATGTCTTTGAATAAAACCTCTTTAACTCACAGTAAAAGGCCAGAATATTTTTGGTTTCTGCTGTAAAATTGTTGTTTATCACTTTGCAGAACTGAATCTTCAAGTTATTGGTCTCTGGACACAAGCGTGCGGTGGGCTCCTACACGTCTATGTGTATTCGGTGGTCAGTGAACATTTTACGGGATTTTGTAGTTTTATATGAGCTGCAGTAGCAGAGTGACCGCAGCGTAGAGCTTGTCATTCACCTCCAAATCAAAACTATAACAAGATTACTCACATTAAGAAGAGCTCAGATTAACCTAACGCAATGCCAGCGTCCACTCTTCACCAGCACAGCGCTCACCGGCCAATCAGAACGACAGGTTAAATCAGCTGAGATGGACGGAATAAAGATGGACAAGAAAAGCAGGAAACTCAAGAACCCAAACAGTCAGTCATCATAAACTAAAGGCTACAGCGAGAAATGTTTATTTCATTCAACATTACATCTACGCCCTTAAGAAAGATGGTTCTTCAAAGGTTCTTTAGGAAAGATAACAATTGTATTTAGAACCATGAGTTGTATAAAGATGCTTGAATGCAAAATGGTTCTTCAGATTGATGGAGAATGTGTTGAAAATGGTTCTATATAGCACCAAAAAGGGTTCTTCTATTGTTACGATGTCAAGCTTGTCGCAATAGTAGAACTCTTTTTTGAGGTTCTATATACAACCATATACAACACATTCTCCATCAGTCTGAAGAACAGTTTACCATGCAAAGAACCTATTAAGTCTCTTTATACAACTCATGGTTCCAAATACAACCATTCTGTCCCACTAAAGAACTCCTGAAGAACCATCCTTTTTCAGAACGTAGCTCTGATGACGTTCTGTGTTTAAAGTTCTCAGATCAGCCCAGACGCTTTTCTTTTATCCGGGTAACAGTTTATGTTATGTAATAAATGGGCGTCTTCTGCTCTGCTGAACTATCAGGTCTCACTTCGCTTCGCAGAAACATCCTCTGAGCATCTGGAGGTTCTAGTTCTGAGTGCCCTCACAGGAACGCTAGCTCACTGCGGAACCCCTGAAAGCTGGACTGAGGTGATGGCGACAGGGTAACGGCTGCTGAGCGGCGATTGGAGGACGAAATGAAGCGGATGTGGAAAGCGTCCGGATTCTGATTGGCTGTACCATAGAAACAAACTTGAACGTAGCTCTTTCTTCACAGTGCTGCTGTCAGAAATGTTCTCAGACTTGCTCATGCCACCCCCTAGTGGCTCAGCTCCTCACGCACCCATAAAACCCCTGAGTGATCTGAGTACAGCGTTAGTTTCCACCACCGGAAAACAAATCATACACTGTTACATTTTTACAGCTCTTTATGTTTACAGGCCACATTTAATCAATTATTAAACAATTCATTCAGACGAGTAATGAAGGTTTTTTTTTTTTAACTCCTAGATATTTAGGGGTCCAAGCACCTTTAGGTGCATAGAACCCTATTGCTTTTGCTAGGATTTTTCTTCTTTTTCTTTTTCTTCTTCTTTATCTTCTTCTTTTTCTGCCCTAAAATTGTTTGTGGAGAACAGGGGTATGTGTAGAATCCCCCCCACTACTCAGGCAACTGAAATGACCCCAGTTGGCCTGATGGTGGCGCTATAGAGTGACATTTTACGTTTTGGCTCATATCTCCTGAATCGTGAGGCCTACAGTCAAAATTCTTGCTTCTACATAATCCTTGCTTTATACTACATAAACACTCCGCTGCATGTATTTAGCTCCACCCCCATATTTTTTTCCATCATAATTGGCAAAATATGTGACATCTACATTTTTGTATGAGTCTGAGGTTTTTCAAGATATCAACACAATATTGGTCTTGAAATGTTCCAGGGAGTCTGGAGGTCAAGAATTATCAAAAAAATTGAATACTTATTAACAATATGGCTGCCACGTGCCAATTAAGCCCCTCTGGGTTTGGCTTAAGTCACATAATTGGCTACAGATCAAGATTGCTTTGGCCAATTCTCATCAAACTTATCATTCCTGTACCCCACATGATTCTGTGGAAGCCCACCATGTTTGATACCAATTACTCAATAGGGGGCACTATAACAACCAAAAATCTGTTTCTCAGCAACTGCTTGGTCAATTGAGCTGAAACTTTGCATGCTGTATCCATGGCCTAATATTTACATGATCTATTAAGGACAACTGAATCAATGGACAAATATGGCTGCCAATGGCCAATAAGATTTCAACAGGCATTTGGAGGGCTTAGTATTGGCCAATCATCACAAAAATTATATCATGTGTCCACATAGGCAATCTCTAATAGCCTATAAAGTTTGACCACAATTAGCCATGAGGTGGCGCTATAGAGCATAAACAAGAATAAGTCCTATACATTTTATCATAGATCAAAATAAATCAATTCATATCATTGCTTACACTGAGAATGACATTTGATCAAATAAAAGCCTTTAAAATTCTGTAACATTTTTCTCTGATTGATCAATGTTTGAAAATTGAGCTTTTCGAACTAGTCTGTGGATTTTAAGACAAATGTTTCAATGTTGGTCTTAAAACAATTTGTGGAGTCTGTAGGTAAATAATTATCAAAAAAACCTTTATTGCAAAGAACAACCATGAGACACCAATGAATCTGTTTGGTCTGGCCTTTTCTGACTTAGGGGGCTATAGATTCTTTAGTATTTATGTGATTGTGATAAATCTTGGTAAACATGTACATTACTATTTTCTGAAGAAATAGCAAAGTTTCATTTAAATTGATTGCCATAAGCCCCTACAATACTTAATCTAGTGCATAATTACTACAATGTCATTATATTCTTCTATAATTGAAATAAAGAAAAGATAATGGTTTCAAATTACACATCTCATTAACTTCTAAAACATTGCAATTATATGTATGTTCCAAAATTGCACAGGAAATGTGGAAATTTGACTTAAACCCAGGTTGGCCACATAATCAGTAACGGTAATATTTTCTCTGCCAAGCAGAGGGAGCATCAGCATTAAATGCAAATTATGACTTCAAACATACTTATGGTCGTAATCTTTGAAACATCTATCTTGTGGCAAAGAAGTTTCTGAATTTTATGTATTCCACCGAGCCAAGCAATTTTGCATAGTCTTTTAAAAAACTTGATTGTTTTTCTGTAAATCATCAGAGTTTGAAAATCAGAGATGTTTTCATACTGCTTGCTGAAATGTTTTTGCATTGTCTCAAACTTGGTCTCAAAACAACCATCCAAGTCTCAAGATCAATAATTATTTTAAAAATCTTGCCTTTTAAGCACAATTTTATTGCTAGTTATGGATCAATCAGAAACAAGGGACCACAAATCTGTCACCTATGCTCTGATTGTGACCAAAATTGATATATACTTTGACAATGATCAGCTGAGGAAACGTATGACATTTGGCTTGAATTGGCTGAAGTTGGCTCTTACAATGCTCAATGTACTGCCAACAATCTAAAATGTAATTATTCCTGTCTAAGATTAAAATAAAGACATGACAATTGTTTCAAATTATGCATCTTAATGAGAATTGTCACTTTGCAAATATGTGTAGGTTGTACTGTACAGGAAATCCTATAATGTGATTTCAGCAAATTTTGGTCAGAGCAACAAGTGTTGTATTTTTCCCTGGCCACCAGAGGGAGCTAAATCAGTAACTGCAAATGTCATTGTTGAAATATACATGGGAAGCTTTACTGTATGTGTTTAAGTGAAGAGCATTTCTGAATGTTATATTTTCCACTGAACAGTTTTGCAAATACAAGTCATAAAAAACTTTCAGTAATTGCACAGTTGAAATAAGATGGAGTATAGACAGTTTAAATCAAATTTCACTTGAAACAATCTAAATTATTAAAAATATTATGACTTTTAAGCACAGTGTGGCTGAAGATTTGAATAAGAGGCCACTACTTTATTCCTTGATGTCTTCCTGGTGCTTGGACCCCGCAGATTGCCGCTTGTGGCCAAATTAATTTTATTATGACTTCATTCCGGAGGCTAATTTTACTAGAAATTTATTATGTTTTGTTCATTTTATTACAAAATAAAATAATGTAAAAGTATGTTTTTTGATGCAACATGTGTGTGAAGCTGTTGAGTACAAGCATCATAATATATGCACATATATATATATATATATATATATATATATGCCTATATATATATGCCTATATATATGCCTCAATTTTGGACCGTCTTTATCATCATATACACACACACACACACACACACACACACACACATATATATATATATATATATATATATATGCCTATATATGCCTCAATTTTGGACCGTCTTTATCATCATAAAAGGGTTTGAATATGCAATAATATCATGCTTTGACTAGACTGAAAATCTCACTGTAAATATAAATGTATACAAAAGGAATAAAAAATGTTTTATGTTTCATGCCTGTTCCCCCCCTCCTCACCTGAGCGTCTCCCCTGATGACCCCCTCCTCTTCCACAGGTTGACGAGGCTGCTGGAGCGGCTGGCAGCCGACGACGCCTTTCCTCCGTCCCCCACGTGCATACGGACCACTGTGGACGTGGTGAAGGCGCTGCGAACGTTTCGCTCTGGTTTGGCAAGGATGATATAAACCTTCGGCACAAACATGCAGCCCAGAGCCACTGTGGCACTCAGACTCACTGAGAAGCACATGGTCACGATCTTGTAGTTGGAGCCGAAGTAGATTGGCACAAAGGCCAGCCAGATGATGCAGGTGGTGTACATGGTGAAGGCGATGTATTTTGCCTCGTTAAAGTTCGCCGGAACGTTCCGCGTTTTGAAGGCGTAGAAAGTGCAGCTCATTATTAGCAAACCGTTGTAACCCAGCGGTGCCACCACGCCTAGATTGGTGGTATTGCAGATCAGGTTGACCTCTCGGATGGATGGATAGTCAAAAATAACATCCGGCGGCTCCAGGGCGAAGAGTGCCACGATGATGCTGAGCTGCAGAAGAATGAGAATGAAGGCGATCGCCAACTGGGCACAGGCGCTCATGAATCTTGGCTTCTTGGTGCAGATTTTTTTCTTGCTGCCAGCCAGAATGCGAGCGATCCGATTGGTTTTGGTGACCAGGGCCGAGTAGCTCATGGCAGGCGAAAGGCCGACGCCCAAGCGCTGTAGGTAGCAGTGGACCACATGAGGTTTGGCGATGAGGCAGAAGGTGCACAGGTAGCCCAGGCAGATTCCAGCTAAAATGATGTAGCAGAGCTCGCGGCTGGATGACTTCACCACCGGAGTGTCGCGGTACACCACGAACACGGCGGTGACAAAGAAGGTGGCCATCAGACCCAGACAGGAGAAGACCACGGCCGCTATGGGCTCAGGGTCACCCCACCGCAGATACTGCACTGGGATTGGGTCACAACCTGAGAGGAACAACAACGAAGAAATGCTGGAATTAAACAGACCTGTCTTCAAAAAAGGGAGAAACTTTTGTTTATTGTGTTGTTTATTCGTTTTTTCTTTTGTGAGCCTGAGTACTGAATGAGTTTGTTTGTGTGTTTGATGGCGACTCACCTGTGAGGTCGTATGTAGGCCAGGAGCCAAGTTCGCACGCCCTGCAGGTGTATTCATCAAACACAAACTCATTCTCCTTACAGGGAGTACAAGTCCAGCAGCAGCTCACCTCACCTTTACGGATTACCTGCACAGAGAGAGAGACAACAGAGAGAGAGAGAGAGACAGCAGAGAGAGAGAGAGAGAGAGAGAGAGAGAAAACAGAGAGAGTGAGAACTCAGAGAGAAAACAGAGAGAGAGACCAGAGAGAGAGAGACCAGAGAGAGAGAGATAGATAGAGAGAGAGAGAGAGAACAGAGAGAGAGAGAGAGAACAGAGAGAGAGAGAGAGAGAGAGAGAGAAAACAGAGAGAGAGAGAGAGAAAACAGAGAGAGAGAGAGAACAGAGAGAGAACAGAGAGAGGGACAGAGAGAGAACACAGAGAGAGAAAGAGAACACAGAGAGAGAGAACACAGAGATTTTATTCAATGATCTCAGAAGAGAAAAGTAAAAACAGTCAGATGTGAAGTTTGAACTTTAAAGTTCCTGAAGAGAAAACAGATTAAAAATGAAAAAAAAACTATGTTCACTCTATTCATTCAGTGAAGACGATGAGTTTGAGTGCTCTGTGATAGATTAGTCTTCACTGAGCCCATTTAAAAACTGTAGATCTGATAAATTAACAATGGCAGACACTGTCCCAGTGCAGCTCTAAAGTCATAATCATGAAAACATGAAAATAAAAGATTCAGCTCAAAAGTTTCGATTCAGCTGTTGTGAGTGAGCTGGAGTTTTGCTGAATAAGATAAAATAAGATGAGATGAGATGAGATGAGATGATCCTTTATTAGTCCCACAATGGGGACATTCTCAGTACTACAGCACCAAAGGCTTGACTGTCTGTGTGTAAAAGAGCTGAAATTTGAGTTAAAGACTGAGAGGTGTAGTTATAGAGGAGTGTAGTTATCGATGGATGTAGTTACTGAGGAATGTACATATTAAGAGGTGTAGATATTGAGGGGTGTAGTTACTGATGAGTGTAGTTATTGATGGGTGTAGTTACTGAGGAGTGTAGATATTGAGCGGTGTAGTTATTGAGGAGTGTAGATACTGAGGGGTGTAGTTACTGATGGGTGTAGATATTAAGAGGTGTAGATACTGAGGGGTGTAGTTAACTGAGGGGTTTAGTTACTGATGGGTGTAGATATTGAGGGGTGTAGATATTAAGAGATGTAGATACTGAGGGGTGTAGTTAACTGAGGGGTGTAGTTACTGATTGGTGTAGATAATGAGGAGTGTAGATATTAAAAGATGTAGATACTGAGGGGTGTAGTTAATTGAGGGGTGTAGTTACTGAGGGGTGGAGTTACTGATGGGTGTAGATATTGAGGGGTGTAGATACTCAGGGGTGTAGTTAACTGAGGGGTGTAGTTACTGAGCGGTGGTAAATATTGAAGGGTGTAGTTATTGAGGGGTGTAGATACTGATTAGTGTAGATAATGAGGGGTGTAGATATTAAGAGATGTAGATACTGAGGGTTGTAGTTAACTGAGGGGTGTAGTTACCGATGGGTGTAGATATTGAGGGGTGTAGATATTAAGAGATGTAGACACTGAGGGGTGTCGTTAACTGAGGGGTGTAATTACTGAGCGGTGTAGTTACTGAGTGGGGGTTGTGATGGTTGTAGTGAACGATAGTTACTGACAGCTGTAATTATTCATGGCTGTAAATCATGCTGTGGTGAGAGAGTCTGACCTTGATCTGGCCTTTATCGCAGGGGTCACTGCAGACTGATTTGATGATGGCATCTTTGCTGGACCAGATTTCATCATCATCAATCTGCAGACCGCTGTTATCCCAGCTGCCCACGTTGGTGTAGTCGTAATAATCCTTCCCCATCTTCTTAAAGTTCATGATCACATAACTAAACACACACAAACACATCAGTAGTACAGTTTAATAATCACACAGCGAAGCTAATAGACCAACATTAATAATCATTAATAATCCATCTTTCTGCTTCCTCATTAGTATTCTTACAATAACATAGTTAAGCCCCGCCCACACACATTAAACATATACATACATAAGCTTGACTTCACTGTATCCATTCAAAAAATGAATCATCATGTGAATAAATGACACCACCTTCATTTACTTATCATAAACTAAAACATCACATCCGTTCTAGATAATCTGTTCGGTTACTGGTATTAAAGAAATGGATAGATGAAAACACAACTGGACAGATGGACGAATAAACAAATCAGCAAATAAAATATATTAACTAACAGAGTGATCTGCTCCTAGATCAGTTGTTGGATTGTCTGAATGATTGTTTGGATGATGGAGTAATTGACTAATTAACTGATTAATTATGGGATTAATGAATTGATTGATTGAGCGAACGAATGATGATTGAATAACAGTGTACTGATTGGTCAGTAAGCTGAACTTGAGTTCAGGCTGGTTGTGGGGTACTGTTGTTTGTAACATGATTGATATTTATTGACTGATTCACTCGTTATTCATTGATGGATTGATGGAGTGTTGACTGTATTGATCAGTAAGCGAACCTTCCTGGAGAGTCTCCGTTTTCGTCGAACTGGATGTTTTCTCCGGAGACGCCGGTGAAGTTGGTCTTCATGAGGAATTCGAGCAGTTTGGCTCCGTCGATCGGCCGCATAGCGTCGCACAGACCAACGGCACCGCGACACAGAACTCGCTGCATCTTATGGAGCCCAAACGCCATACTGTATATCGCATTGATCACAAAGCCCATCTTAGTGTCCTGAGCGTACTGCTGACGGAGGGAGTCCCGCTCTGCAGTACAGAGAGACAGACAGACAGACAGACAGAGAGAGAGAGAGAGAGACAGACAGAGAGACAGACAGAGAGAGAGACAGACAGAGAGAGACAGAGAGAGAGGGACAGAGAGAAAGAGAGAGAGACAGACAGAGAAAGAGACAGACAGACAGAGAGACAGACAGTGAGAGAGACAGACAGACAGACAGAGAGCAAGACAGAGAGAGACAGATAGAGATAGAGACAGACAGAGAGAGACAGATAGAGATAGAGACAGACAGAGAGACAGACAGACAGAGAGAGAGAGAAACAGACAGAGAGAGAGACAGACAGAGTGACAGACAGAGAGAAACAAATTTGAAAAAATAATACTGTTATACATTTCCATATTTCTTTTGTATTTCTTTTAACGTGAAGTTGAAAGATTTGGATTTATCACAAGTTTACTTTCAAATAAAAGACATTCAAGAAATTCTCATCACTACTGAAATAATGTAATTTGTAGACAGAGCCTTATTTTAGCCACACCCCTGCATTTTAGAGCAGGAAGCAAGACTGCATCCCCGTCCCTCATGGCCACATGGTGAGCTGTTAGATCCCATTGAAAGTCAGAGTGAAACATTAAGAACTGTCACTACTGAAACACGTTTATGTCGGGACTGATGCAGGTTTACCTCAGTATTACATCAGCTTTTCTTTAATTACACTTCTTAACCATTTGGGATCTGAGGATATTAAATTGTTGCACTTTTGCAAGTGGAACTTTTACCCGTTCTGACTTGATTCAAGACTTCAGCTGCTCAACAGTCCAGGGTTGTTGTTGTCTGATTCTCCTCCTCATGATGCGCCGTGCATTTTCTGTCAGAGACAGATCTGGACTGCATGCAGGTCAGTGAAGCACAAACTGTGTCTGTGTAGCCACACTGTTGTAGCATGTGAAGAATGAGGCCTGGCATCACATTGCTGAAATAACCGTGGACTTCTTGGGTAGAAGACGTCATCTTTATGGCAGCACGTGACTCTAAAGTCACAATATTTACCTCCACATCAATGGTGCCTTCACACATATGCTGGTCATCCATGCCTTGGGCACTGATGCCCCCCCAAATCATGACAGATGTTAACTTTTGTATTTTTTGCTGGGAAGTCTAGACGGTCTCTTTCGTCTTTGGCCCAAAGAACTCGACATCTGTTTATCCCAAGAACAAGCTGAAACATGGACTCATCTCACCACAGCACACATTTCCTGTCTTGGCTTGTGAAGTCTGAGCCTTTGGTTGATGGTCCTTTCATAGCCAGCCATGATCACCTGTTACCAATTCACCTGCTGATTGTGGAATGTTTTGAAATGGTGTAACTTGAATATTCTATAAACTTTTCACTCTTATTTTGCTCCTGTCCCAACTTCTTTTGAGGGTGTTGCAGGTATCAAATTCAAGTGTAATTATTTTTACAAAATACAATCAATTTAGTGCATTTTACAAAATGGTCCAACTTTTCTGAAAATGGGGTTAGTAATTTTAGTGAAAAATATGATGGTTTTATGTGTGAAAAGTTTGTGTAGTGTTATGAAATGTTTTGGTGGTGACAAAATGGAAAGTTCAATCATTAACAAAGTAAATATAATTAAGGTACAGGGTGACTCAGAGTTACAGGACTTTAGTCTAAGTCCAAGATCAGTTAAAATGGGTTTCAGCTCTGACTCTGAAGTTCAGCAGAATTTGTTGGAACAAAACCTCGTATCTCCAAAATGGTAACTTTACAGGATACTTTACTTTTAATGTAAGTCAATGGAACCAGACTTTTCTCAATTTTAGTCATTTTAGGCTGTTTATTTTGGACCTATCATCATGAAATTTACACACAATGTAAAGGGAAATAGATTCAAATTAAGTCAAAAACTGAAAAACGACAAAAATAGAGATATGAGGTTTTGTTTTCTGACAGCAGCGACTTATTTATTTATTTATTTATTTATTCATTCATTCATTCATTCATTTTGTTTATGGGACATGTGTGCGACCTTGTGTCCTGATAAGGTATGAAAAGATGTGTTTTTAAACTAAAACAGTGTATTGTCATCAATTCAAAGCACCGATTTTCTCTCTCCACCTAAATTGCCACTTAATCTAAAAGCTCTTGTTACCTCTAATGGATAAAAGAAGTACAGTGATCTCCAATAATAAGTCTCTCTCTCTCTCTATCTCTCTCTCTATCTGTATCTTTCTGTCTCTCTCTCTCTCTCTCTCTGTGTCTCTCTCTCTCTCTGTGTGTGTCTCTCTCTGTCTCTCTCTCTCTCTCTCTCTCTCTCTCTGTCTCTCTGCATTTTGTCATAAAGGAAGAGCAGCGACACGGCGGTTAGGGATGGAAATTGTGTCTCGTTTTTATTCTGTTCTCTTTCTTATTGAAATGAAGTTATTTGAAGTCTCTCAGCTTTGAAGCGACACGTGAACCATGTGAGCTTTGAGTATGAATGTATGAATAGAGGAGAATCAGAGAGGAAGAAGAAAGAGAAAAGAATATCATATACAGAGAGAGAGAGGGGGGGGAGAGAGAGAGAGAAAGACAAAATGACAGACTCTGTGTCATTTACAGAGAAGAAAGAAAGATGAATAGAAATAAAATAGCATAATCAGGACTCAGGCTTAGCTAGAGAGAGGGAAAGAGAGAGAGAGAGAGAGAGAGAGAGAGAGAGAGAGACTTGACTTTCAAGCACCTTTATTTAACATACCATAACAAAAACATAACACAAAAAACCTTTGTTATCCAGATTAAACCATTAACAAAACATGAGTCTTCCAAACACACCACAAACTGTCTCCTTCACAAAGTTACTAAAAACCCACCCTGATTGTCAGGTTCACAGACGAAACCCCCCACCCCCCCACACAGCAACGAATGTGTCTACATCATCAGTTAGGGTATAGTAGGCATATTCCAACAGGAGTCGCCTTGACACCAAACCCCTCACCATTAAAACAGGATCAGTTCCCCCGCGCCCTTTGATCCTGTTCTTCCTGCTACACCAAATAGCCAGTTTCGCTGCTCCATACAAAAAGTTTAGAAGTATGACCTTGTCCCTCCTCGAGACAGAATACTTTGGTCCGTAGATAAATAAGCTCCGGTCAAAGACACCCAAACTCGCTAAACCCCAGTTTCTAACTAAATTTAAAATCTGGTGTAGGCGAGAACGCTGTATGAAAATATGAAACAATGTTTCAGAAACCCCACAAAAAGGACACCCATCCCCAGCTAAAGGATCAAGTCGTGCCACGTGCCTGTTTGTGGCTAATATCCCATGTACAATCCTCCACTGGAGGTCTCCCACTCTCTTTTCAATGGGCCTTTTGTACAGAGACCGCCAGCTACCTTTAGGTGACAAGTCTGCCCCCACAACCTCAGTCCATTTGGTTTCCCGCGGATCCATGAAAGACCGAAAATTCAAGACTTTAATGCAGGCAAAATATAGTGACTGTTTGTTTAGTCCGCTAAAGTTCCCAAGAACTGGGGTCCCTAGTGAAAGGAGCTTCCCTTGACCATCCTGCCAGTCCTCCCGTTCCACTCTGACCACCAGCTCTGGAAAATCCACCATTTCACTCCGGCAGTCCTCCACAGGTGCTGTATCCAGATATTCTAGAACTGAGACAGACAGGTCAGACCTCAATTGGTCTAGTCCCTGTGAAACCGTGCACACTGACCTGAGACCAACCATTTCTGCCAACAGTTCCACTGTAATCCACGCTGTACCCCTCCTCACATGGCAAAGTTTACTGATGCCAGCTTCCAAGAAGCTGACCCTCAGTGCACCAGAGATCTGGGACAGTGTCGGAAATACAGAGTTAAAGAACAAAGGTTCCTTGAATATCCACTTGGATGGAACTGTGCAGCTCTCCCTTGAAAAAGAAAAAAGCTGCCAGGCCTCCACAGCTGCTGAGTAAAAAGGAGTCAAACCTCCTATGTCCACTGTTCCCAGTGAAAGGGAGAACAGGTGTCTGTCCAGGCCCATGTGACCAGCAACCCGCAGAAGGGCACATCCATCCAAGCATGACATTGGTGATACAGCAGCCTCACTGCCTGTAAGCGTAAGACAGCGACTCTGAAGCGGATATCCATCAGCCCTTGTCCACCCTCCTGCAAAGGAAGATACAACACTGCAGCTTTCAACCAGTGCTGACCACCCCAGAAAAAGTCCACCAGCGCCCTCTGAATGGCATTAATCAGTTCTCCAGGTATGAACAGTCTAGCAAAGTCTAAAATATCCCTAATAAGAAATAAGTTATCATTAATGGACCTCTGTGGTACACAGTATGATTGGTCTACATGTACAATTGAGTCCAAGACTTTTTTAAGTCTGTTGGTGACACAGCATGACAGGATCTTATAGTTAGTGCAAAGGAGCGACACAGGCCGCCAGTTCTTAAGCAGGCAGAGGTCTCCCTTCTTCGGCAGAAGAGAGAGGACAGCATGCTGGCAGCTCTGCGGAAGCAATTTGGCATCAAAGCTAGCCTGCAGAACGCTAAGAAGATCTTTCCCAATGACCCCCGGAAGGCTTTGTAAAAGTCCACAGGTAGACCGTCAATTCCTGGTGCTCGTCCAGAGGTGAGCTGATGCACAGCTTCTGTCACCTCTTCAAAAGTCAATGCAGTGTCCAGCGCTTGACTCTGCTCTTGATCCAACTCGGGAAGATCTGTAAGCAGCACTTCTGAACAACACTGGTCCATACCTCCAGCTGTGAACAAGTCAGAGCAGAAACGTTCAGCCAGCCTCCACATCTCAATGGGGTCTGAGGTGACGGAACCATCGTCCTTTCGCAAAGATGCCAAAAACTGACAATCAACAGAGGATCTTTCCAAATTTAAAAAGAAAGTGGTGGGAGCATCCATATCATTAAGAGACACAAACTGTGATCTAAACAGAGCCCCCTTCGCTTTTTCATTTAAAATAGTACCTAATTCCTGACGCTTTGTAGTTAAAACTGTAACTGTATCAACAGTACATAGACGATGATCAGAAAAAGA